GTCGGCCAACGGCCGACGCATCAAGGGCGTAGCCCTTGTGATGGCATGTAATCCACTGAGCACTGCTCACATTACGAAGCATTTCCTGCATGCCAAAAATTGCATGGTCGGACGAGGTCCGAGGCATCTTGGGCAAGGTCCTTTATATGCGCTTGGAGTGGCACGTTATACACTGGACGAAGAGAGCAGAACTAGCAGCTCTTCGTCGGATGTTGTTCATAACATCAGCGCACCGATGGAGCAGGGAATGGGGACACTGGATGACGCTGAGTGCGTTCTCGCACTGGTTCGGCCGAGACGTAAAAACTCCGAGGAGAGGCACGGCGGCACCGTATGTTATTTGCAAGATGCAGGGCATCGACTTTGACCCAGGGTGTGCCGACTGTAGATGATAGTGCACAGCTATACACCCTCGTCAATGGTATGACGGGGAAGGAAGACGGCGACGTCACCCTCAAGGCTATTCCCGCAGTTGATGCTCTTCTTGAGCTGGACGAGTTATCCTTCGAAGAAATCGGCGGCGCCTTGGAGGCAGGCGATGTAGCCAAGGTGGTCAATAAACGACCGAATAAGGATATTAACTCGTCGTCGCTTTTGGATGAAGCTGTCCTGGAAGGCAACAAGAGGGTGTTGAACGCACGAAATGGATCGTTGGTCCTGAAGGGTACCTTAGATCCATACTATTCTTTGTTAAAGAAGCCCCAGGACGTCGTCTCCAAAAAAACCGTCGGTCCTACCTCCGGATTGAGGTGTGCGTCATGAGATCGACCAGGTTCCAGAAACCAAATACTGCGTAACGCACCAATGGCCCCTGCCCAAGGAGCAGTGCGCCGTTATTGACGCCTTTTTTGTGCGAAGCACGACGCAGGAATGGTACGTGAGAGCAAGTCTCTCCATTCGACCCCCACGTTTGTGTCCGGACAAGTGGCGTATCGTTTACGCTTATAATGCTGCCACCATTTCGGCACAGATGCCTATTCATCAGAAGAATGTTCTCCGGAAAATCACAGTTGGATGTACAAAGTACAGTGTACTCCATTCGGCCGATGGGTATTACCTTCTGTTTATAAAAGCGAGTGGTTTTCCGCTAACAGCGGCGAGTACTCCGAGCAGCATGCGCTCGCGTGCATGCGCACGAAAAAGCCGTATGCTAATGCAGACAAGTGCATCTTCGGCGCCGACAAAATTTTCTTTTCGGGTGCTTCATCAAGGAACGTGGCCTTTGTGCGGATCCCGCTAAGATCAAGGCCACTGTGAACTGGCCGGTTCTAAAAAATCAGAAGAACATGCGCAAGTGGCTTGGCCTGGGCAACTACTTGCATAAGTGCAGCAAGAACTACGCAGAAAAGGCATGGTATTATCGAATATCCTAAAGAAGGATACGGAATAGTGTTGGGACACTGAGTATCGGATGGCTTTTGTCGGGGTCAAAGACAGCCCCCTTCATGCACCAATACTGGCGTTGCCAGTCCCTGATTGTCCTTTCAGTGTCGTCTGTGACGCTTCGAACGTTGCCATCAGCTGTGCACTACTGCAGGCAGACACCGAGGGCTGAGATCGGATGATTGCGTTCGAATATCGCCAGCTCTAGGCAGAGCTGGCAGAACAGCCCAGTCGACAAGGAATCATTTGCGATGAAGTATGCACTTGTGAAGTTCAGGGTGCACCTGCTGGGCTCCAAGCCCTTCGTAATGAACACAGATCATGCGTCACTCCGCACTGCGACTCAGTCGCTTTACCCCTCGCAGAGGTTGGCTAGGTGGCTCGCAGGAAACATTTCGATATGAAGTTCAAGCCAGGAAAGCGGAATGCTTTGGCTGATGTGTTGTCACGCAGACCTGAGTATGAGCTCGCTCATGTTACGAGGGTGACATCGCTTATGACGAATTCGACCGCGCCACGTACGCGGGTGATGATATGCGTGTAGCGCTGCTACAGGCTCTCGGAAGCAAGGAGTTTGAAAACTCGGAATGGAAGTTGTCGTCGCGACTGCGTTCACGGTTGCACCGATATTCATTGAATAATGGATTGCTGTATCATAGCACCAACGCGACGTATACGCCACGAGTTGTGGTTATTCACGATGATGAGTTGAAGTACAATGTCCTCTGTGATGCCCACGACAGGTCAAATCGCTCGTGAAAAGACCTAAAGCACTGTGAGCTGCCACTACAGGTGGCCCAAGCTATACAAGCTGACGAGCACCAATGTGCGCGCGTGTGAGGCGTGCCAAAGTGTGAAACTCTCTCCGAATGCGGTGGCGCCGCTGCCAGTTTGCCAGTACCCCCCAGGTGCTGGCGATCCATGAGTTTGGACTTTTTGTTCTAAAATTCGAACGGGTGACCAAGTCATTCTCTTTTATGCACTTCTAGAGTCTCCAACACAAATGCAGTAAAAGTGAGAGGGTAGTTTTCTGGTACTACCTGTCACGATCTCAATCGATAAACGACGTCAAGAATGACTGAAGTCGATTCAAAAACGTTTAAAAATTAAATATATTGCTTAGAGGCAACAATGCTTTCCACACTAAACTTCTGAGCTATAATTCATTGGGATTTTATCACCCAAAGCTCAGGTGCCTTTTAGTACTTGGACTATGCATCACATTGTGAGAGCAGTAAGAGGTTTAGCAACGTTGATTAGACGGTGTACACTAATTGCATTATTTTAGCGGCTGTCAAGTCTTTGGTGGCTGAACTGCACAAGTTTCAGTCGCGTTCGATAGAAAAAGAAATGGCTAGCTTTATTTCCGGTTAGGAAAGGGTAAATTGGACCCTCGTGACGGCATTGAAGAACAAGACTCGCTAAAATGGAACGGAGTCATTACAAATAAAACCAAGATCAACTTCAAAGCGCTGCCGCTACATCCTTTTTTTTGTACAGGGAAGGTGTACACGCCGTTTATTGAAAATATACGCGTGAAATCTGACCTAAAAACACGGGATAAGGCAGCAAGGCAATCGCAAAACAAACTCAAAGCTGCGCTGCAAATCAGAATGCTGACAATCAAGCCGAAACTTTGAACTTCGAAGACAAGTACTATACCGAAGATTAGATTGATGCTTATTTCATGGTGTGTCAACTAAACGTATGTCATAATAGTGGTATCAGGCAATGAACATCGCTTTTGTCATTATTCCGCTTCTTTGTTTTGTAAGATATACATCATAAAGTGTGGTTTTGGTCTGTCAGAATTATGATTTCTTAACATGGACTTACCATAATTTGTTTAATGGTCTGCCCTAAATTTAAACCTATGCGATCGTAAGTTCTTTAGCGCACCCTGCAGCGTGGTAAAAGGTGCGGGAGGAGCGGCGACAAATGTAGCTAGAAGTTTATCCGCTACAACGAGAATGGAAATGGACCTAAACACAGACTACGCGCAGTACATGTAACAAATTTAAACAAGGTATAGCACCGTACTGCTGCGTGCTCAGTAAGTGTTCCACGACAATGGTGTTTCATGAGAGGCGATTTTAATTGGCAAATTTGCATGCTATGGTCAATCCAAATATACTTTAACGACTTGTGTGCGTAGAGCTCCCAATTGATTTTAGAAGCATCGTAAATTATTGAGACTTGGAGCCATCTCGCGGTGTGGCTCAAATTAATTTTGCTAAGATGCCACACCAGTTCATTTTTGTCGTCGCGTAATTTGCACTCTGACAAGAAGACTCACGACTACCAATATGAATATGATTGCAATATTGATAGCTATTGCAGGTCTGACTGTTTGTTTCTTGCGCAGATCTTTCGTAAAAGCTGCAAATGAAGATTTGCATCATACGCAGAACAAACTACATACAAGCCGTATTCTTCATCAGTCCAATTTTTGCTCCCAGCAGTCACTTTTTTCTATAAAAAGTCTTGGATGTGTAGCCGTCTCAGCAAATCAATAGCATGCTGTAAATTGCCACAAGACCATATGATGTCCGCCAGTCATTCTTTCCCCCTCTTGCAATAGCATATTACAGGCCCTCGGTTGTCGCAGTAGTCTTCTACGATCGCCAATAGCACGACGAACTGAAGTTGAGAAAAGTTACCCCTTTCCGTTTGTATTATCAGCACAGCTTATCCAAAACTACCGCTTCCTGATTCAACAGCTTTTCCACTCACACTCGAATCGTGACTTGACAGCATTTGCGTCCCCCTTGATCAAATTATCTTGTCGAGTCTTTGAATACTGTTGATAAACGATGTCGAGTGAAAATGTCTATTTTCATGCACAAGTATAAAATTTCGTTCGTACAGAAAATGAAGTCAGCTTTACCTAGTGGTCAATGTGTGATGACTCCTCAATCATGATTGAGGGTTCCAATCTCCCCAAAGGTACTTTTTCATTTACATTGTAGTAGATTCACCTTGAGGTACCTTGTCGGTATCTTTGCCCTCCTGTCCTTTGGATTTGCTAAACGACCAGATTGTATATAATAACGGCAGAGTAATCTGGTATGCATGTAGCAATGTTAGGACGAGAAGGACTTAGGAAAATAATGAATTGTCACTTTGGGTTTTATCTTCAAATCAACAGGTTAACAGCCGCATCCAACGTGCGTAATCACGCTGACAAATACGCACACCGAAGTTATCCAAGGAAGTAATAAGTTCTTCCACCGAGAGCCCATATGACGATAAATCTGGTGATAAAGGGTCTTCTGGGACATGTCATGACCGTCAAGGATGAGAACGATATCAAAGACACGAAACTTATGAAGGACTTCAAAGCATGCTTTGGTCAGCAACAAGTGCCACGGAGGCATGGGGAAGCAACGTGATTTTTACAATTGCTTGATTCTGTAAATCACGTGACAGCGACGCAGCGACTCCAAGACTAAAAGATGGAAATTGGCTCTAGCATGGCTGAACATCTAGACTCTTTTGACCTACCAGTTGTGGGTCTATAGACAATGGGAGGGCCAGTGAACGAGTCGCTCCAGCTGGTGATACTTCTCAGCAGTCGGACATCGGATATGATTTGATCTCAACAAATGTGGAAAATGTAGAGGACATCACATTGATTGAAATGAAGGCGATAAATCAGCGAAGCTACACAGCAGGAAGGTTTCGATGAAAGATACTAGAAAGCTTAAAGGTGGACGCGGCAACATCTGAAATGATAGCGCATCAAGCAGCTACGGCTGATTAAAGGGCAAGTGCTTTAATCGTTGCCGCGTTTGTCATGTGAAGCGGAACTGTCCGACCGGAAAACATGCCAGCAATGATGACGCGGTATATTTAGTGGACGAAGAATGATGGGCAGGATGACTTATCGGCAGTGTCACTATAGCCAACATGACCCTGCAGAGTAAGGGTTTGTCCGAATGCAAGGTCCTTAAGCAGACATTGAAGTAATAGATGCAGATGGCAAAATTAGTAATCAAAGGAACTGGCAGAGTGAATTGAGCGGTTTGGGTATAAACGGATTTGCATGATTGATGTTTAACATTTTCGAGAACTTGACAATAGAGAGTAGTCCTTGCGGACCGTGGTATGAGTGTCGAGTTTTTGCGCCCGTCGTCTTTAATCTGGTGCAAAGAATAGGCGACTGTATCGGGTTCAAGAATCGATAATGCGTAATGCGTACACGCTGGACTGTAAGGTGGAAAAAGCATGCTGCGTGGGATATTCCAGGAACGAGACTCGAAGAAGACGAAGTTATGATCCGATGCTTTACGCTATCAAGTGATGGAGAGGCAACGAAAAAAGATGGCCCACTGACACCAAAATGTGCTAGGATTGAGGACGACAAATCCATTGTCGATGATGATTTCGTGTAATTGGTGCGAAGGTAGGATGATACGGACTTACCGACGTCATGTGTTCAAGCAATGACTAGCGAAGATGCAGCGAAGTGACGTGAGGCTATTGAAGCTGTCTTCGCACCCATGAGCAGAACCAAACATAGATATTAAAGCAAAGAAGGACGGAGTCTAGCACAATCAGATCGAGATGGGTCTTTGTCAGGAAGACCAAAATAGTACTGCTGTACAGTACAAAGCACGACTTGGCGCGAAGGATTTCAAGCAAACGTATGGGTCGTTTTCTTCGATTATTCGCTCACCAACGTGAGTTCAATTCGAATGATATTTTCAATGTGTGTCGAATGCGACTACCAAATGGAACAGCTGGATGCCGATACTGCATTTCTGAACAGTGTGCTGACAGACAACGTTATATAAAAGCTCCGCTAGGAGTAGACAATGCTCAGGAATAGTGTGTCAATTTAAAAGGCTAAATTCAGATCGATACAAGCAGCAAGTGCCCGGAACAAAAAAACACAATGCGTCTTTCTGAACAATGGCTTTAAGGGCTGCGGAGGAGGTCAGTGCGGTTATGTCAAGCGATTCTTGGAAAGGTTTAATCTACGCTGGACTATATGTGGCTGACATAACTGCAAAAAGATTTAGGCAAGATAGAATTCATTTTGGGCACGGAAATTTACCACGACAGGTCAGCCAAAATAAGACTTGCTAGATTGACGATATATCAGACGGTTCGGTCAACAAGATTTCAATAAAATCTACACCTCGTGTGCATGTTGTCGTCAATGCAGTCACTTACAACGGAAGCAGGTCGATAAGCGGTACGTTCACGGCCCTTTCAAAGTACATGTAGTTACGTGATAACACAGCTGTCATATTTTCTGGAAAACTTTGGACTGCAACATTGGAACTCAGCTAATCGCGTGCTGCGCTACCTGAAGAGTATATGCCTGGTATCGTTTACCAAGACTGAGGTAACATAATGGTCAAAACATATTCAGATGCTGATTGGGGCAGCAATACCGATGACAGACTTTCGGTTTTCGGAGTTATGATCATGATTGCAGGTGCACCAGTGTTGTCTAAGTCAAAGTATCAGCGAACCGCTGCACTTAGCTAGATGAAGGCTAAATACATGGCCCTCAGACTTTGCACTCAAGAAGTTCTTTGGACGCGTGCGATGTTTAAGGATATGGATCACGAGCAAATGGAAGGGACACAAGTTCGAGAAGACAATCAAGCAGCGATTGCATTAACCAACAAAGCCGTATATTATGCTCGGACTGAAAATTTTGACATTAGACCCCACCACTTCTTTTGCGAGAATATGCAAGTAGAAATTTTAAATATTGTCTGCATCGACAGGACCCGGCAGCTTGCAGATATACTGACGAATGCTCTTGAAGTCAAGATGCTTGCGTTTATACGAGGCAGCTGATACCATCAAGACCAGGCCATGCCAAGGATTAGCAAGCATTGACGGCGAGTGGAAGTGTTGAGATCACGTCGTTTCATACTGTTGAAGAACGATGTTAAGAGTATAAGTCTAATTTTCATGTATACGTATTACATTTCGTTCGGACAGAATTTGAATTCAAATTAGCTAGTAAAAGCTCCTCAATCATGAATGAGAGTTTAAATTCCCCAGAGGAACAAACAGTGCTTGGGTTCACCGTGGGGTACCAAGCCAGTACGTACGTTGTCCTTTGCAATGGCTTACTGACCAAATTGTTAATTTTTTGCGGGTGAGTAATTTTTGGTTTAGATATGACAATGTCAGGACGAGAAATACTTAGTAACATATTAACTTAGTGCAAGTTATCGTTTTTGATTTTTCAATCTTTTGCAATTAAAATTGACGAATTTGTAAGAACGTTGTTTTTCTTTTCTCGTTTTGAATTGTTGTTTGTCGCTTAGTGGATTAATGAAATCAGTTAGTTTGTCCTTTGTAAACTCTAAAGTAAATCAATTGGTTGGACGAACGCTACATCTTCGTTTGGCGTACATTGACCTCCAGTAATAAACTAGGTAATTTACCAGGCCGAAGTGCAGATTGATACTAAGTTTGATGTCAAGGTGACTTTCACGTGGAGTCAAACCGTCGTAGAAAATGTCAACATTACTTGCAACGTAAGGAGTTACATTTCAGAGTGAGCAGCACTACTGATACACAGCCAAAATTCGAGCCCAAAGTCTGCACGCGCACTCTCGAGATGAAGTTCAGAATGGAGATTCCGCAGCTGTTCCCATCGTTCCAGGGACCCAACCAGTTTCTAGTTGCTAGCTCTAGTGATGGTGCTCTGAAGCTTGGTCTCTAAGTGAAACATACGTATTTGCAACAATCACAATCCAGTGGACATGCAAGATAAAAACACTAATCTCGTATCATACGATGTCAGTTTGTCGACCATTGATTGACCACCTTAACCTAGTAATAAACTCTATCCCGCCGTAAAAATCATTGTCCAAATGTGAGTCCTTCTCCGGATTGCTCAAGTATCTTCAAGTTTCGGAACCCAGTTCTAAACAGCGTTGAAAGATCCAAACCTGTTATTTGTTCAAACGATTGAGCTTGTAAATTGTACTTCACTACACTGTCCGCCACACTGTCATGAATATTACACAGACATCAGTATATCTGGTAAGGAAGGAAATAATTACTTTCAGTAATCTGACGAATGACGGATCCCGGCAACAAAAGTGCTGCACCAGGCAACAGAAAGGTGGATATCTTGTCAGTACGCGCAGCAGTCTCATGCAATCACATGCGCGATCTCCTTTTCGCAATAGCTAACTCAATACATCCGTTTCCCAAGCTTATCAAGCTTCAGCTCCATCATCTTCTTGGACTACGCAGCTGTCGAGTGAGTCTTTAATCTTGCGCTGTGTCCGCCCAGTGTCTTCATCTTTCTCAGCTTAAATTCCCCTTTACGCAGACCTACTTTCGTCATGTATGTTAAAAGTATTATTTACAGTGCATAGATCTGGACATAAGCCAGTTGTGCCGCCCGCCGCTGTACAAGAATAAATGGTTGAACAAGGGTAAGGGGAATTTGTTTATCAAATTTAAATTATTAGTCATCCTATATCATATGTTTTATTTTGGTCACATGTCCGCATCTATGCTCATGCAGTAGTAGGTCCGTTTCATAATACATGGTGTCAATGTATTACTGGAACATAGTATGATTACAATCAACAAATCACTTCATAAAATAATTTTTAGTCTCGGCTGTGCGCAATATATTCGTGCGTGCGTGGTGGGAGCACATACTAAGAGAAGATTCATCTGAGTCTGACTATATTGTCTCGACTATGCATGCATCACACCATCAGACTTAAATAGCAAACATTTTGAAACAGGGAAATAAGAAGTGGAGTGACAATTTATTACATCGTATCAATAACGGCAAGCAGGTAACGACTGTATTTATAGACAGCTTCTTGAGATAAAGTCGCCGAAGTAATTTATGTTTATCGTACAGTTACTTAAATGAGAAGATTATCTTCGTTTGTTAGTTGATAGTGGTACAAGCAGACCAGACATCTGTCATGGTTTACCTTGATTTTAGTGACCCAACATTGTGTAGATCACACCATATTGCGACTAGGTCCGACGTTTGGTGCTGACTTCTTGAGCCATTTCCACTTCCACCGTAAGTACAGTACCCACGCGTAGCCCTGTGCGCGTACCTTGTCACGGAGCTTTAAATATCCTACCGATCTTGCACATAAGATTGGTATTTTCCCATATAACACGACGGTTAACCCAACACGACAATGCGTCGTGGCGTGATCACGTTAACTTGTCTAGTAGTGATAGTGACATATGCACAAGAGAGTGGTATGATCACTTTTGTTGGTGCTATAAATTTGGAATTGGGAGAGCAAATATCACAGCAGCAGGAGAAAGCATTCGCCCATGTATTAAAGATCGATTCGAGTGATGGTAAGGAGCAGACAAAGGCGATCAAGTCAATAGTGCCGGACATAGATGCAAAAGTGTTGGACCAAGGAGGTATGAAGGACCATGAGACTCAACCGGCGAGATCGACAATGACGTTCAATCAGACAGTAAAGCACGGGATACTGGATGATGGGATTTCCATGACTAGCACTAAAAGCTTCACAAAAGACGTTGCAACGACACCGAGAGTGAAGAATTCTGCGGGCTCGTCGTTAAATGAAACACAGAAGCTGGTTTCAAAGTACGAATCTGTAAATTCAAAGCTAGATCATATGACATCGGACGTGGTTGACGCTCTGGACTCGATGGCGGGTGATACAATCGAAACTAAAGATTTGACCCAGATGAAAGATCTAAAAAGGATAGTGAATGCTGAAGGTACGGAAGGCTCGAACGTGAAAGTTGAGACACAAAATGTGGATGTCAAAGCTGAAATTGTAAGCTTTGAAAACAATAATGTGACACGAAAGGGAGTTTCAACGTCAAATTACACAGCAGTGGATAGTTCTCTCGATACTGTCACCTCGAAGTTGGAGGGTGCTACACATATCGTCAGCCCCAAGCTGAATGACGTTGTCATGAGTCTGGGATCGACCAGAGATGGTGTTGAGCAAGAAGTGAATCATACGATACACCCAACAGTGAAAACAACTAGTTCTGTGGTGAAATCTCTGACTACAATAACAAATACCACATCAACAAGTGTACCATCCATTGTCGATACTGTTACTCCCACGTCAGGTACGACGTTAACCAATTTTACACAAAGCGTCAATACGGTGACGAATATTCCAAATGAGATGATTACAACGACAAGCACAGCTACGAACACAATCGGCAAGCCTGTGATTTCTGCTGTCGAAACAGTGGTCAAGACAGCAACAATTACATCAGAACCGGTGTCAAATGCAACATCCTCCATCGTCAAGAGGGTTACACCTTTACTGGACGCGGCAGCATACCCAATCGGATCATCAGTAAAGCTGGTGTCGCCTCCTGTATCGAACACGCTATCACCGCTTGCCCACCAAGTCTCGAGTGCAAATATGTATGATCTTACGGCAAAAACGATATCTGCACCTGCGCCAACAAACACGGTCACCGACGTAGCTGGATCAACGTTAGGCTTATCGACGAATACGATCGCAAAGCCTGTGACTTCGAAATTGAAGGTGGTGACTGATACAGGAGACTTATCGCCAGCAACACCCGGAGTTGACATGATAGCAAATACGACTGAAACAACGGTCACGTCGGTCTTACCTATTATCTCAAACATATCATCACCTGATGTCAACAAAGTCACGGGCTCGGTGTCTGACACAGCTGATTTGACAGCCAACACTGTGACTAAAACTCCGTCTAGTGTGATAAAGGCGATGCCACCTGCTGTCAACAAAACGATGGATACGTTGACGAACACGGCAATTGGCAGTGTAACTAATAAGATTCTGGCACCTGTGACGCCTTCTGTTCAGTCTGCAGCAGAATTAAAGCTAAACCCGGTGACTGACGATTCATCCTCAGCAATGGAAGAGGAAACACGTGTTGCTGACGCAGTATTAAGCACGGTACCCGATACGGCTGTTAACATTATGGCAGACAAAGCAATCGACACGATGGCGACAGATACTGCACTCATTTCTGCGTCCCCCACTCAAGCGGGTACACCACTGTTATCTTCCGAAAATTTTCAAATCGTGAGTAATACAAGGGATACCAGTATCGATCAGCCGATAATGTCACAAACGCCGCCAGGAGTGACACCGACGACAATGCCGACCGAGCAGACTTTGGACAAAGAGGAAGAGAAGACTGAAGTCAGCAAGTTTGACATGAACGATATGGAAATAAAGGAGACTCAAGAAGAGACCAATAGGAACGACCGAGCTGGTATATTGGAGAACGAAGACAAATCAGCTAAAAATCACTTTGACGGTAACGAGACGCCAGTAGTTAGTAAGAGTCCACCTGCATCGTCTGATATGACAATGAAGCCGTCGACCATGCCGAATAAACTTCCTTTCTCGACTACTCCTGAGTACGAATCAGGATCAAGGGCAGAGTTGTCAGGGAGCCTAGACGACTTTGCTGCTGGTTATCTGAGTCACATGAACGATCCTGACGTGGGCGATATAGAGCCACAAAGGACCTCACCTCCACAATTAGCGAATCCTTCCAAATCTACACAACCGGATATCTTAACGCTTCCGACTATCCCGTCCCCAGCTTTATCGTCTGATAGCAAAAATAATCCTGTGAGCCAGGAGGCTCAAGCTAAACAAGCCAAGGACATCTCAGGAGAGTCCGATTCTGGCACGTCAATCTTTTTTGCCTTAGTTGGATTAGCAGGTTGTGCCGCCATCGTTGCCATTGTTGCGTACATGAAGAAAATCGAGCCTAGTGCCACAATTTCAGATGAAGTACGTAGCTCTATTTCGACGGCAAATGGTGCTCGTAGTTCATGGGATAGTGTGTATAATGATCCACTTGAAACGCGGTACTCAAGTATCGTCATGATCACGCCGAATGGAAATGGAGTGTGCATTTTGTAAATGGAAATACAATGTAAAGTCGCATATTAATATCATTCTTTCTTGCCTTCATTTACTTTCTTGCCAACGGGATGTTAGCTACAATGACACCAAGCGAATAGCAACGTTACCACAATCTTTGCGCATATTGTCCAATGGATGAAATGGCGTTAGTCCAATTGGGAAGGCAAGTCGGTTGCAAAACGTAGTTTCTACCTCGTATAGTTCGTTTGACGGGTCTTTTGCATCACACACGAGATACCACGTCACTGCTGTAAGCTTGACACGAAGACCAAAAGCCCACATTTGTTCCTTTGCGCTTAATATAGTCTCCAAGTATGGGCCAACATCCAAATCAATTTGAAGCGGGGTAGCACGTGCTGACGCAGGTCGAAGTAGAACTCGATCCACCTCGTGGTTACTGAGAAATTTAGTCAGTAGTTCGTACGAGCACCCACCTGATTCTGTTCGATTGCATGCATGCAGTACTGCCATTGCTACCGAATGAAGAGCATTGCTCACCTCCATGGGCGTCTGTTCCGGCGTTTTACCGACTTGATGTGCCAGGACAAATTCCAACTCACGCTGCAAGGCGTCGACAACTGCATCGTATCCTCTTTTACCTTCTACACGTTCCCCATTAATCAGTAGCTCATCACGTCCAATGTCCTTGGCGTCTTGAAAAATTTCAGCTTCTGATAATGTTGGTATGCGGCTAGTCTTTGACGCTACATCATCGCGGATGGCCAGTATCTGATTAATATAGCTGTCCGTCTTGTATTCGTCCTTCATCTCTCTTTCATCCTTTAGCCAGTTTGTGGATAGCACCAGTTTTTTATCTGGAAACCCTTCAAATAGCTGCTCCACCACCTCTTGAAACAGCGTCAGATCTTCGTGGTCAGCACTCATAGCATTATGCAACAATCCCGACATTTCTTCGAGTTGTCGGCGTTCTGTGGCCACTAACGTCGTCTCCAATAGTTCTCGACGTCCCCAATCTCCAGCCAGCTGCTGCAACTCCAAAGTAATTCTTTTTATCTCATCGTGAGTGCTCTGTGCATTATTCTGCAGCTGTGCGAAGCGATCCCGTACGGATATGACGTGCATATGTGCGACCAATGCTAGAGCCTCAAGTATTTGCATTCGCTCATTATTGACCCGCAATTCGGAAGGAAGCCTGTCCAGTGATAAAAATATCTTCTCTTCGCTGCTTTCAGCGACGTCTGACATGCTGAACGGCGTTGCACAGGCAGCTGGAGCAAGAGTCGACATCTCTTGTTCGAGTTCTGACAAATCGAATTCCCACTCCTCTAAATCAGATGAACATGAGTCAGGTCTTGTGGATTGCGCCTCATTCTTATTTTCATGGTCACGAAAACAAGAGCTTGTTGGGGATCGTGGGGACGACGCAGCGCTGCTATCTTCCCACTCGTCCCATTCGTTATTGTCTGCTGAAGTCATAGTATTTAATACACAAAATAATTCCGTTAAGCGTTTGTTAAACACATAACATAAGAGTTGTGTTGCAAAATGTCTATTAGATCCTAAGCTTCGTTAGCAATGTCGGTTCGCCGTATGTGATGGAAATTGTACTAGGCTTGCCATCTGTGAAGACGGATATGGCGCTTGTGAAATAGCATAAGACATATACCTTGACTTCTTGTATCCGTCCACCAGCACTCGTCTCTTCGCCGTGGTTCAAAACGTTTAAAAGTGCACTCGGTAACATGTGGGGGTAAAGCAAATCTGCTTTAGAATACCGCATCCGCTTTTACACGGCGGCCTTTTCATCAAGATAATTCTGGGCGAGCTAACCTAGTGACCAATTTAGCACTTGTCTATTTGGCACCGCGAGCAACAAAGCCATGCAGCCGATTTATATCCCGGTTTTCTCCAGTTCGGTAAAGCTCTGATTAACAGGCTTGTAAAATGTGTCCGACGTTTCTCTTATTTTTTTCAGATCTAAACCCAGATCATTGGTAGTAACGGCATTTGAGTTTGAAAAAGGAAGCTTACTTGACTTTGGAAATCGGAACGTGCGCCTGTGATGGCACTTGATGCGACTAAATATGCAGCAGGCTGCCGTAGCTTTGCGCTTTGAGGAATCGTAACTTAGTTCACCGACTGTTCGTTCTATACTTTGAACAAGCACGAGTTTAGCGGATCGCAATCCGCTTACTCCAAGAGTAATTCTTGCCTTAACCCAAGGCTAACTAACTCTCCCATTTAAAATCCAAAACTGATTTTTATTTATTTTTATCTGCGGCAAAGCCGCCTAATTCTAAATGTATAGCTTTTCCTAATTATATATAGTAAAATTTAAATACATACATAACTACTGGCTACCCAGCCACATACTGTATTCTTGTTTGGGTGTAGTAACATCATGCCCATCTCGTGTGACACATACCCCCTGTTACCAGGGTACGTGTAATCCCGTTTCAAAATGGACATCCGACTACTCTTCGAGTGAAATACAAGGTTAAAATAAGCATTCATTGGTGCAATGTATATATTGATGTCTCATATACTGTAAATAGATCGACAAATCATGTTTAATCTTGCGAAGCATGAAGAGACCGACCAAGCTGTCGAGAAAGCGTCACAACTCACAGCACCTCACATCCGATGGATTGTTGTTCTTCTTTTTGGTGTCACTACACAATGTGGAGTAAGGATCATGGCGGCCACGATAGCAGTAAAGCCCACAGTGGTAAGACTATGAGATGGAGTGACGTTTAAATTTACACGGAAAACTCAGCGGTTTGTAACGGAAGTACACGTATCCTGGAATGAAAGGGTGGGTCACACAAGATGGTGTGACCGTACAAAGGTGTGGATTACACAAGAAGGCGTAATCACACAATGGTGTGGCTACATCGTAACAAGAAGCCACTACGTGGCGCAACTGCCAGTATTTATGCACATTAGATTTTACTATTTAAGAAGGAAAACCTAAAGATTTCGATATTGGCGGTTTTGCCGCAAATCGAACAGATGAATTCAGTTTTTGATTTTGAACAGAAGAGTGTATTTGACTCGAGTTCACGGTTTGGAAACTCTTGGTGGTAGCGGATTGCAATCCGCTACACTCATACTGGTTCTAGTATAGAACGTAAGGGAGGTGACCCTAGCTTAGCTTCCTCCAAGCAAAGAGCTGCGGTAGTACCGCTGCACTTGGAAGCACTTGTAGTCAACCTGCATCATGAGTCGGTACGACTGATTCTCGTTGAGGATGGAGAAATTCGCCTATTTACCCCAGTGTATGCAGAACGGGCTTCAGAAGTGTATGTCTCTGGGATGTACAACACCTTGCTTTCGCAAAGACCTGAAGCGATAAGCGTACGCCTAGAGGCGTTTTCAAACTATGAAAATGCACGGCTAAAGCACCTAAAACAGAAGAAATCGGCGTCTACAGCGTCCATGATGCCAACGTCGGTAATAGATGACTCCTTCCGACCCAGGCCGCTCATGGTAGACCTTCGAGGGTAACGATGGTGAGAATCTTGAGTTTTGGGTGAGAGAGGCCGAGGTGGCTATGGCATCCGCCATGCTCCAGACCGAGTAACACCGCATAGCGCTAACTATCCCCAAGCTTGGTGGTCGAGAGCGAGAGTGAACACTGACGTGCGCACTTCGGTCGAAGCGGCAGTTCCCTCCTAGACGGAGCTGAAGCTGCAGCTGTTACAAGTGTTCTGTGTTCTCCCTTCCTGACCAAGAATATCGCGTGCGATCGCGTTTCCTTGCCGCCCGACAAGGCAAGAGGAAATTTGTGGACTTTGCCCTAGAGTTGCAAACTCTCATTGTCGGATGGCAGTCGATCCTCTCCCCGAGGCGGTCACAGTGACCGTCTTTATGGAGAGCCTACGCACTGGCGTGGTCAGAATGGAAGTCTTCTGTGTGCATCCGTCTTTTTTTAAAGAAGCGGAGAATGATGCATTGAATGCCAAATTCAACTCTAAGTCTGCACGACTTGGTTACATTGCACACCCTCAGAGCTCGTCGAGCGGGCCTGAGCCAGTAGATCTCAGCTTTGCTGAGAAAGAGAAGAGAGATTTCCGAGCTGCCGAACAGTATTTGAACACCCGGCAGTGTTTTGTCTGTGGAGACACCCGTCACCTTTAGACTGGTTGTCACCAGCGCAAGGGACGCCAAGGTTCATCGAACCGATGTCCCGATCCTTACCAGTCTGGTTCATCGACAACATCCAGGCGCGCAAGGCACCCTACTGGGGAAGAACTGAGTCTGTTCAGCCTCAAAGAGGTAGCGGGCAGCAGGGCCCAGCCCCGAAGAGCTCCGTGCTCTTGGACACGGAACATGCAAGCCGGGCTTGCTGGTCGTAAAAGCGACCGTTAAAGGCTTTGAAAAGCCATGGAAGATCCTTTTCGATTTCGGGGCGTCGGGCAATCCTATGCTTGACGATCCACGATTGAAGGAAGTCAGCTGCATGCTCAGGCGCTGGAAGCGCGGATAAGTGACACCGCCACTGTTCGCTTAGCGACGTGGACTTGTGTTACGAAGCCAAGGGCCCCTGTGGGCCTCGGTATCAAGTTTCTTGACTACGATAGCGTAAAACACTGCTTAGCCTTAGACTCGGATTCAAGGTATGACCCTATCCTTGGTATGGCATGGTTGGAACACCATAGGCCGTGGATCGATTGGAGGACGAAGATATTGGGCGCTATGCGCACGTTTCCTGGTGGACCTTTGGTGGGTCATGAACCCATCTCTGCTATGGAGCAGAAGCGCTACTGGTGCGGACGCTGGACCGGGCGGTCTATGTACTGGATATCGGTGTGTCCGACCGAAGGTCTATTGGATAGAAGTCCCGAGCATGGCTCGGGGGCTGAATGTAGAGTGACACGTCAGCCACTGAGCGCTGCTCAATTATCAAAGCAGTTGCTGTATGCCATGAGTGGCATGGTCGGCCAAGGACCGAGGCTTTGAGGGCAAGGCCCTTCAGATGCGCGTGGAGTGGCAGCACTGGTCACGTTTTGTAGCATTTGCTGCCCAGAGTGACATGGTCGGACGAGGTCCGAGGCATCTTGGGCAAGGCCCGTCAGATGCGGGTGGAGTTGCACCTTATCCGCTGGACGAGGACTGCAAAACCAGCAGCTTTTCGTCGGATGGTGTTAAGGCTCTATCAAGGCTTCGGCGGAGCAGGGGGCGGGGACAATGGACGGCGCTGAGTGCGTGTTCATACTTGTCTCGTCGAGACGCAAAACTTCTGTGGAGAGGCAAGGGCGACGCCGGGCGTTGACCCTGGCTCAGGGTGTGTCTACTGTAAACGATAGCGCACGATAGCGCACAGCTATACGCCCTCGTCAACGGTAAAAGGAAGGCGACTTCACCCTCGCAGCTATTCCGGCGGTGAGCGCTCATCTTGAGCTGGACGATATGTTCTTATAAGAGTTCGGCGGCCTTGAAGGCAGACGACATACCCAAGTAGTTATTATACGACCGTACGAGGATATTAACTCATCGTCGCTTCTGGATTAATATGTCCTGGAGAACACCAAGAGGGTGCTGAACGCACAAAATGGATCGGCGGTCCTGAAGGATTCGGACTATCCTTTGGTAAAGATTTTTCAAGACGTCGTCTTCAAAGATTCGCCGTCGATCCTACCTCCGAACCGAGGTGTACGTCAAGAGATCGACCTAATTCCTGGAACCGAATAGTACGTAACACGCCAATGGCCCTTGCCCGAGGAGCAGTTTGACGTCATTGACGCCTTTTTCCGTGCGAAGCACGACGCAGGATCGGGGCGTGTGAGCAAGTCTCCCCATCTGACACCCAAGTTTTGTGTCCTTAAGCTGAACGGTGAGTGGCGTATCGTTCATGCTTACAACAAATTAATGCTGCCATCATTCCGTCACCGACGCCGATTCCTAGGAAGGTTGTTCTCCAGAATATGGTGGAATGTACAAAGAACAGCGCACTCGACTTGGTCGATGGGTATACCAATTGCTCATGAGAGCGAGTGATATTTTGCTGCAGCGGTGAGTACTCCGATCAGCATGTCCTGGGAGTTACTGGTGATGCCTTAAGGGCTGTCAAATACACCAGCAACATACAATCATCTTGTGACGCTGTTGTTCAGGCCCCACCAGGTATATGCACAGACCTTCGACGACATCTTCGTCTGTTGTCACAAGACCAAGACGCATTTGAATGGGCGTCTTAGCAAGAACGTGCGAACCGGATAGCTGAGAATTTCGCCGAGCAGGTGGCTCCTGTTAAACCCCTTCTTGGCGGTCGCCAAAAGCGTAGATAGATCTGTTTTTTATTATCGAAGCCGTACTTTTTTCTTGATCCTGGTATGTATTCTATTCAGCTGCTCACATTTGTTCTTGACCAATATACATTCGTTTGATCCGACAGATTGAGCTGCGATTTCGTAGAAAAGCGTTTTTGCTTTCGCGTAAGGCTCACAGTGCTCTACCAATCCGCGAAAAGGCTTCTTTTATATCTCGTTCACCATGCTTCTCGAACGTATGGTGCAATTCGTCTTGACCGTTGTACAAACCCACAAGCCGATTGAATGACACGTAGAAAGCACTAGTACCGCTTTACCACCAATTTACTTAAAGCAGGCTTTTAACACGAGAGCAGCATCACAAACATGTTTTTTGGCTGCTTCCTGTTTATGGGATCCATTTTCGGTACGATTAAGCGCTGTTTTCGCTGCTTTAACATGACAACTGAAAATATACTTGCACTAATCAATAATTATACCTGCACATGCTGAACATCAGAACGTGAAACCTTGCATGCCGTAGTAAGGACCTTTCGGGTGGCATGTGGTAGATGTTGTGGGAGCGAGAATAATTATACGAGTTGGGGAGTTTTCACAATAAGATTTCCATTTCATAGTACGCATAATTTTGGTCTTATGTTTAATCGTTGTGACGAGCGTGTACTTCGTGCATTTGGTTGCCACAAAAAGACTCTTTGACGCGTGTAAATACTGGAGTCGAGTCAAAGGATCTGTACATAATGGTTTCGTTTGATAAACGAAAGGATATAGCAGATAATGTTTGAGAAACAGAAGAAACTTAAGCTAAAGCCGCCAAATGATCTTGAAGCAGAGGGCGAAGATGTGGATAAAGTCGTAGTTTGCTTGCAAAAAAGTCGCAGTAGCTCCTTCCGGGCCAAGTCTGCGGAAGTTGGATGTTGATGTTGCTTTAAGAACTTTTTGGCGCTTAAATTACCAGCTGCAGTATCGTTAAGGTTGCAGCGGGGCCGCCGTAGCACTTTGCTTAAAGGGAACCTAAGCTTAAGCCATCGACCTTACGTTCTTTACAAGAACCAATACGAGCGTAGCGAATCGTAATCCGCTATCTCCAAAGTACTTAAAAACTTTCACCTCGGTAAAGACGGTCTTCCGTTCAAAATTAAACTTGTATTTAATTGTATTAGTCGCGGACGATCCGCCAACATCTAAGACCCTAGGTTTTACTAAGTAATATAGTAATACCGATTAAAATAGTAAAACCTGACTAATATGCATTACACTGGCAATCTAGCCACGTGATGGCTTCTAGTTACGGTTTAGCCACACCATTGTGTGATTACACCAACTTGTGTGACCCGCTTATTAATACAAGAGTACTTGTAGATCCGTTATACGCTGGGTACGTGTAACCTGATGCACCGACCTTAGATCGCTTCGCAATTTTTATTAATATCCAGAAAGTTTGGTGAACACGGAAGAGATACCGCAGCGGATTCTTCTTGGAGCTTCGCACTGTCTCCCGGCAATACTGACCAACGTCATTTTCTTGCTTTGACTGGTTATTCAATAATTCAAGGCCATGTAATACATGTCAATGACCTTTACCTTAAATTAACTCTCACTGTGGATCTGAACGTGTATGATCCTGTCAGAAACGCAAACAGTGTTTTCCTAACATCATGTGGGCTAGCCTGAACATCATCGTTTTTGAGCCTGTAAACAGACTGTTAATCACTTAGACGACAGAGAAACGTATGCTCGTACTTCTATCCAGGCAAGCTACGTCACAGTGATACTTTCAAAGTTCATGTCTAATCCAGCAACCGAAAGACTCTGGGTCAGATAGCGACAAAATGTCATGGGGAAGGGTTAGGACAGAAAGCTTGCCAGCTTAATTTTCGATCAACATATTGCTGCTACATCTCAGTATCTTGAACATGTACAGCCTGACACAAGTGCACGGTTATGACATACATCAGAGGCTAAGCACTATGAATTTTGCTCTTCCATAATATAGGCAAAGTATTCTCTGGACGAAAACTTGAGAAATCTTAACGGACTGCACGAATGATTGAAAGAGGACCCCGAGTGGTGCCGACCGGTATAGTTATGTTTAGATTGAATAGCGGCAGGGCAATTATGACACATTCCTTGCGAAATACATACTCAGCGGACGATTGTTCATTTGAACGGTGATATAAATTATGCGAGTAAAGATTTTTTCCTGGCTGTTTTATGCAGTACATCACGGATATCCAGTTGCTTGTCACTCTGGAAATAAAATAAGATTAAATACATACAATGAGATTCAAGCGGCTGTTGGTGCCGCTTCTGGGAATTCAAGCTCTGTGCGTTGTAAAACGGCCTCTCTGAGTCAAAGTTTTCACTGTGTCAAGTGCTTAGAGTCCTCGTTGCACTTGGTAAATCATGTCATCAATCGGACGACCGAGTCTCAATAGACTAAACCTAGGTATAGATGGAGGTTGGTCGAGATGCGATGGCAGATCCCAAGGGCCAGAAGTAGTGATGGTAGGCTTCAAATCGCTCACCAGCTACTTGAACGAGCTAGTGCAATACCCATAGTAATGTTCGGGTCGATGGAAGTGCAACTGGCTTTTGCCAGTGGTTTACTTATGCTAAGCGTCCAGCACTTTGAGGACAGAAATGATCAGAGTCAGTAGAGCATTACAGTTTCTCTTTCCCAGAAGAATTTGGTCTTGATCTAGACGTAGCAGCACCACATCGCGATAGCGGTCTTCAAGTTATGAAGCTTCGTCATAATCGGTTCTTACGCGTGATACCCATGTGGAAGAAGCATTCCTAATATCAAATGATCCGTGACATATGTCTCCGGTGCATCCACCGCCTGATGAGAAACTCAGTGCTAATTTGCCATGAGAGTCGAAATCACGCAAGCTTTGTACATATTGAGAATCCCTATTAACGCGTTGGCGGCAGATATCGTCCAAAGGCGGTAGCAACTCCTAGATTCAGATAAGAAACCATCCGCCTTCATCAACGTTTTCGAGAATGCGGTGAAAGTCGTATTTCAATGCGAAGCACCGTTAGCGTGGCGCAAGAGTTGATTAGGGTGAGGTAATTGCGGAGACTTTACGAGCGCAGAAGAATTGATGAAAGGCAGAAGGGTGACATTATATAACCACCTAACACCTCATTGGTACTCGCAGATGTTACATCTGCGAAAGTTCAAGTATCTGCGCCAGGCGCGTCCCCTTGTTTTCTCGGCTGGGACGTTTAAAGGGTCGAAATCCCACGCATTATCGTCCGACATTGAAGAGATGAGACACTTTCGCAGTGAGGTGCTGAGTTCGAGTTGCTGCTGGGCGGTCATCTGATGACAAGTGAAATCTGCTGTACCTCGTGGTGGCCAAGGTCAACGGAGCCTTGTGGTACACTCAATAAGAAGTGTGGGCTTACAAAATCAGCTGCTTGCTGTCAACATCAAAGTCCCTGACACTGGGAAGCTGTGAAAGGCTCTAATAGATTTGACAAACTGTCGAGCAACTTTGTGCAATGCGGAAGTGTCAAAGTTAGAAGGCCGTAGTAAAGGTTTTGAGTCACCAAATGCAAAGAAATGTTTTGTGCGTCAATGCGGCGAAAATTTGGTGATGTTGCCAAAGGTTTTTTAAAATCGCATAATTAGATCTGAGAGTATTGACAGCTTTGAACACTGTCTCATTTATTACCATGGCTTGAAGCTTGATTTCATTCTAGGTGTGGTGTAGCTTGAACGCGTTGCGCCATGAATCGACCTAAGGCCGAAAATGTATATTTGACGCGCTTCTTTATCGTAGGGGCTCTATGGATTAAACCCTCAACAAATCTAGGAATTAGATACGCTTTTGGAGTGGTTATAAAGGGAGCTTCGGTGCAAGGGTTGATGATCATGATCATCAATGTACACCACCGGCGTTGTCCAGCGTATTAAGCAAAGTGTGAGAGACAGAAGCGGCAGCAAGCCGCAGTCGTTAGATACGACAGCAAGAAGCGATCGTATACCGCAATTTCCAGTTGGTATCTTCACTGAGGTAGGAATGTGCAACGGTATGCTGAGCTCCCCAAAGAGTAATTCTGACGAGACGTCTTTGTCTGCCGCCCTAAGTTGGGGTCTCTTTTGCGTGGTCTAGTGGAGATAAGCAAGAGCAACTGTATGTCGTTTTTTATGTAGCAGAGCTGGTGCAAACAATGTGAAAAGAGCTATATAAGGCCTCAAGTAACGAGACGCAAATGAGGATATGAAAATGATTCATCGTAGCGGTTTCGATGAATCCACACAGCCTGTGATGTGCCAGTGAATCGGAGTGCTTAAAGGTGAGAAGAAAATTAATTCGTGAATGAAGCGAGCGAGGTTGTCCTATGGTGGTGTGGATCATCATTTAATACCTCCGGTAGAGGCTCTTGTGAGCTATGAAAGTTGTGCATAATGGGGTTCGCAAGAAGTTGCAAGACGATAAAGTCACCAAAACGATACGGTCGATAAGGGACGAGCTGAACTCATTATTCGTGATGGATGCACGTGTCGTTGAGGACACTCGCAAATACTGACGAGAGTAATCTTTAATATTTTTACAAATCTATATTATCTTTTGTTGGATGAAAAGAATGACGTGGTGCAAAGAGACCCACTACGCATGTTACCCTCGTATAAAAATTCGTCAACAATTTTACCAGGTTTCTAGCAAAACACGCGTCAAAAATGGTCCATACCGAAAAGATAATGGGACGTCATTGCTCTATATTCCGCGCAAAAAACGAAGCACGCTTCGCAAGAGAGAGTGGCTTCCTTCTCACCGTCGGCTAGTAGAGTTAAAAGATATACGATATGGTGCAAATTGTGCACGCTTATAATAAGTTCAATGCAGACAATTTTCCCGGATCGAGCACCGCTTCCTGGGTAAGATGTAATAATCTGCAATTGCACCTGGTTTACCGTACTCGACCTATGTTATGATTATTACCAACCGCTCATGTTGGCCAGTAATATTTCTATTACAGAATTGAGTATTCCTGATTCGGATTGATTGCTTATGACCCAAGAACTTTGAAATGCACCAGCGCTACTTTACAGCCTGACGACTTAAGCATTTAAGCCGCATCGCCTCGTTCACGCACTTAAATAGGTAATATATACGTTAACATCCATCGAATCTGAATCAACTATTTTACATCGTCTACGACTATCCGGCCTTGCCACGGGCTGTGTAACCACTCAAGCTTAGCTGTTTAATTCTCTTGAGCTTAGAGCGGCAAAGAAGAATTAAAGTGTTCAAGGCAGGGAGATTCGTGCGATAAATAAAGCTCTTTCCAAGCTCAGGACACACCAGCTTGACTTTTAAGCTATTCGACATATGTCGTTGCGAAACAGCGACCTTGTCACACATCTCTCGCAAAGTATGGGGGGACAGTTTGTCCAGTATACCTTTAATTTAGCTACAAGCCGGTCAATTATGTGCAGTATAGGATTATTTCGCATCTAATTGCCTCATGAATTGTTTGTAAATTACGATGGTGACCTTGCCAATCGATGAGGCGATACGTACAACGCAATGATCCGACTCTTAGGTATATGTATAAGTGGTTTTTAAAAACAAACTCAGTTAGCTGGAAGAGCATAATGTCGCTCCTGGGTGAAGCATACAAGCTCAATCTCTGTGCATTAGTTGGCGCCGCAGAAAAAATCAAGATTTTTTCGTTGCGAGGTATACGGCAATCAATCATGCTAAAACGGTAATCATGAGGCTCTCAGATTTTGAAGAAACACATTACGATTTACGTGTAGTAAGCATTTCTATACAAATAAATTTCGGATTTGTCTACGCTTATCTGGTAGTGCACACTTAAAGGAGGTCATATTGATCCGTTATTGTACTAATCGTCAGGAAGGGGGGTATCGTCGAACCCTAGTTTTTTTCGTGGTGCTATCTAGAAAATTATCGACTGAAGCTGCCCATCGCTTTTCGGCGTTTCTACATATTGGTCTAACTACTTTTTACCATTTTTTGATGTATCAAACAAATGCCGCTACCGTTTACACATACTACTTGAGTACTTGTGAATCAACTGACCGTGTAAACTATCCGTTTAAAATCAACTTGAGCCTGGTTCCGCATCACTGTCCTTGGTTCAACACATAAATCTCTTAACTCGCGTCAAAGTTGGTTCTGCTTTTAACCAGAGATGGAAGTAGTTTCCAAGGTTTTGCTATGAGAGGAATGTATGGCAACTGTCGTTGTACTTCCAATTGACCCATCCTCATGTCTTTACAGCCACGTAGGATGAAATTGAAATTTGAACTCAAATCTAAGACCAAAGCAGAAGTCCACACTATCAAATTCTAGACTCTCCATTCGAGGATTCGAAGTATTTAATGTGTCTCCGTCTCAGCTGTCCACAAATAAAGCAATTTTTCTGTGTCCCTCCGCCTGTTCCTTACTACCTTCGTGTTTTTAGCTCGCTGCTGCTATGAGCACAACACTTCTAAATATACCAAAGCATTTACATGTCCTGATGAGTTTATGCCGACGGTCAAAGTTATGGACAATAAGCTTCAACATTTCAAGTGATTGTCGCACCCGTTCCACCTTGGCTCCTTTGACCACATTTCCAGTAATCTGTTCCGTGGCTACCAAGCGTTGACGACTTTCTGCGAGGGTTCTGTGGGTCGGCGCCGCTTAGCTGATCGACCCTTTAAACATTTAGTTCGAAAGTGATGGGAAGATGCAGTGTAAGAATGTATAGTTATATTCTTTGTATACCACGAAACTAATAAGCAGCCAAGTGTTCGTTCTTATCATACTAAACATGGCTAAGTTTAACAGGGCATGGCGTGCCTTTCCATCCACCCCATCCCAACTAATCTTGCGAATCGAAAGTTGTGCTCCAAATTACAATTACATGCAAAATTTACCATGCTTTGAGGTAGTTTGAGATTTCTGGTGTAGGCTACCCTTATACAAAGTCACTTCATAAATACGGTAAGCCGTTACATATCTTGAAAAGCGTTCAGCCGGCATCCTGGCTAGAGAATTCCAAACTGTAGACATAGCACTACAGTTCACTTTTTCCTTAGTGAATTGATCTCTGGCGAAGATAAGCATTGACACAGTCGACAACAGCACGCTAAGTTAGCACTTCCGAGCCCACAGTGCGAAGTAGTAAAGCAAGACAGGCAAGTGGCAAAAAGATTACGCAGCCATGAATCAAGTGACCAGAATAACTTCGGAAGTTGTAAGTCTACCCTCACTACCTCCTACATAAGCTCATACGTATTATTTCTAGGAGATATGTGCGAAAAAAAGTAAGTAGGTGAGGTTACCGTAAAACTATGGTCGACTCCGGAAGAGAAGCTGACGTGATGAATATCTTTCACCAAGTTAACTCGCAGAGCACTTTGTGCGAGGAGTAGGACATCTATTCTTAAGGAAACTACGATTCCGACGCGGCAACGAGAAATCTTATACGCGCATTTTCTCTCGATTGGGATTGCGTCATGAAAGTGACTTGAATCCCATGCGTCACGACAATGATCTGTATCACGGTGACGGTATTTCGCGTCTGACGCTTCCTTGAACGCGAAAAACGAAGAGTATGTTTAGTAAGAGGATGTACGAACAAACCTATTTTGACAATACACGCATGTTAATTTGTGTAGTGCACGGAAGTTGGATGTTAAAGCCACATTGAGCACTTGCGAGTGCTGTTCGAGTGTATGGTCTTAATTGTTATTCGCCTGTATAGACAAGTTTGGCTTTGGCGCCGGTTAGTTCGCTATTTCCGCGAGGGAATAGGCCAGTGAAGATTGACTAGTGCTTCTGATCTTTCGGGACTAGCTAGGTCTAGCCAACTACTTGCGCAAGTTCAGTGCGAACCATGCTGATATGCCAAACCCTCACTATTTTTCGAAGTAATGCTAAATGGTAACCTTGTAGGGCAAAAGAGGCATTTTTCAATGTTGTGTAAACGTGCCCCAATTTAGCTCTTCTAAACCAAGTTCAACCATTCCATGTCGTCTTTTACACGGGCTTTACACATAATTAATTAACTTCAATGAGTGTAAACTGCATAGGTCACAATATATATTGTGGCTCTAGAAGTTCAAGTATCGTCAATTCAGAAATCGCGAGTCTGGGAAGAATTAATAATAAATAAGCATTAATCAAGCGTTAATTAAGCAAGTTTTCGAATAAGTCTTATTTTTGTATTCGATGTCAAATATGGTTTGATTTATAAGCTGAAGCATAGTAAATAGAATAAACTCTTCACAAGTCATCCAGACTTTTTTTAGACTTATACCACATCAGTATTGAAGCAACAAAATTAATTTAGATCCTTCTGGCGTCAAAATGATAAAATTAGACTACACAAATTTTGCGCAGATTGCAAATCCCATTCAGATATATATCGGCCCGATTTTGGGTCACTAAACTGATGTGCATAAATGATCAAGTGATGCCCAAAATATCATTCCAACGATTGTGTCCAAAATAAAGATTGTTCACTTGGCTTAATAATTCCGGAAACTCATGGACTCAGCGACCCAACAGCGTCACTGTCATCAGCCGATTAAAGTTTGATGTTAGCTTTGGCTTTATCAACCTTTGCTATCAGTACTCATTGTCATGTAATTGACTATCTGCTAGCACTACTTCTCTTCACACTTTGTATTTTTATGTTGTAATATATATAGAGCGGATATTTTACTGCAGTCGAAGGACGCCACCTTCGAATCGGAGATCATGGCTGCGGCACAAACTGCTCATGCACGAAAAATTTCATACTCAACATATTCAATTTGATCTCGCAAAGAATTGCTAACTACTCCGTTATATCGCTGGTAGGTTAAAAACTGCACACTTTCTTTCACTAACGTCTGTTCGATCGCAGCCTTTCCTACAAGAGATGCTATAGCAGGAATGAAAGCTTTTTCTATTATTATAAAGCAAACTTAAATACACATTTACATCGCTTACCGGCCCTGTCAACCAGTTGTCATTGCTTTTGGAGGCCCGGAATTATCTCCTTCAAGCGTAATAATGAAAGTTTGTGTGGGCTACACTAATACGGATTGTTGGTGTTCATGTACCTGTACACAATGAGAGATAAAACAGCTGTTTGATAACTTCACCACCCCCTGTCAAACAACGTCCTGCAATCACTATGGCCGCGACGGAGATGAAAGTTCTGTTGAGTGCAAAGGAGTACGTACTCATAGCGCTGACACTCACACTGGCACCAATAGTGCTTCTCGAGCTGTATGGAGTGACGCAGATGCGGGCAACTATCCCCGAATTTCAGACGAACCCGGACATGCCACACATTAGCGAATGGCTCATCGGCATCGGCTTCGCATTCGTTATCATTGGCTTACGCTTTGTCTTTTTAAAGATAGCCAAACCCATTGGTCGCAATGTGCTGTCTCCCACAAAGCGAATACACGCGGATCGCGTCGAGCGCTTTGCCACGGTGTTATTTAAGTTCATGTGAGACGCACTCGCATTCTGTAGATGAAAGGATTTTGCAGACGCTTGAATCTTTTTCTTACCCATCATTTTCGTTTCAGGTACTTTTCTGTTATCACGGTCGCTGGATATTACATCATGCGTGACGAAAAGTGGTTTCCACCGGTGCTCGGAGGCAAGGGTGCTATTCGTGAAGCTCTTTTAAATCTACACGAAGCCCCAGGAATATCTCTGAAGTACTATTATTTTGTACAGCTTGGCTATCATTTCCATAGCCTTCTGTACATGTTATTTTTCTCCCCCATCCGAAACGACTTTATTGAAATGCTTCTGCACCATTTGGTTACAATTATTTTAATTGGAGGTTCATATCTTGCCAATTACTGTGCCATGGGAGCACTTACAGCATTCACCCACGACATTGGTGACGTGACAGGATGTAGGTGTCCATGTTGTTGTTTTTTTACTGCCAATACTGATCGCGCGTTGTACTGTTTGTCAATACTGTCGAAGCAGATGCAATCAAATCTGTTGTGGACACGGGTAACACTCCATTAATAGTGGCCATGTATTTCGTGCTCCTGGTCTCTTGGGCCTACACGCGGCTATACGTGTATCCAGTCCACTTGATCTACAATGCTATCTATGTAATTCCTGAGGTCAGCCCGCATGTTACTGGTATTTTTTTACACCCGGGAAATGCATTGCTTTGCATGCTTCTTGTGCTGCATGTGTACTGGTATGGTCTTTTCCTAGTCATGGGTTATACTTTGGTCCGCAAGGGCTTGGTTGAAGACATCCAGGATAAGTGCTCCGATGTGAAAGAAATTCACAAAGAAGATGAAAAAACAATGCCTGAACCAACGACAGCAAACACCAGCAGCAAAACGAAGAATGAGTGAGAATAAACGACGGCGCTACGTTTGCGTAGCTATTTTTCCCATTTTTAGTAGAGTAGTCACTATAAGAGCCTGGTAACGTAGACGCACCTATACATAGTCCTATAATCGGGCAAGATTTATTGACAGATTGATACCCACGGAAAAGGACAACTAGTCTTCACAAGATGACTTATAGATGTGCAGGGAGAAGTTTGAGTTTCAAAATCGAACACAAAAACAGCAAATCACTTTATAACATTCATACATGGCAAATTCAAACGCGATACTTCGCTATCTCAAAAATCAATCTTCGTTACCGAAACATTTTGGAGTAACGTGCCATCCATAAACACAACAATACCATGACATGACAATGAAGCTAGCAAATTGCGAGACAGAATCAATGTGTGTATATATATTGTGAAGGTATTTTTCGACGTTGTTGCTCTAAGCGCGCGATTTTTGCTGCTACATCTATAGCGGCGATGGCGCAAGATGAAATCAAACCATTATATTGATTCGGATATATTGATATTTATCGCGTACCAGGTAGGGTCGGACATGTCGATCAGAATCGATCACTGTTTCATTATATTGTGCGAAGATGGAATATCATCTTATATAAACTGATTCGGCAATAAACGCGTTGTTTTACTAAGTCTTTTGATACAGAGCTTACCAAAATCGAACGAAAGAATCCGGAGCGACAATTGAAACCTTCGTTACAGGTCGGATAATGTGGCCAGTCGTTGTCGCAGCTCTATCTGTTGACCACGCAATAAGCTTGGAGTTCCAGTCATTACACCAGACATAGATAACAATTTCAATCAGGGCAAAATTCGTGTAATTTCTAAAGAATAGAATTACAGTATGGGAGTGTTTTGAAGCTTGCTGTTAGTGTATATCGACAGCAATAAGGTAGACCATCGTCAGCACTCGCAAATGCCCAGGATTCTGATCAAAGTCGGCATTCTCTCTGAGAAACGACAACTCAAGCAATTTTGACGTACGTCGCAACGGTCAAGTCATCGAACTTGTCGAGCTTAATACAGCTGGTCATGAACTAAGCGTCTTAGTAGCAAATGCGGCTTGTCGGAACAAATCTCCACGTTCTAAGAAACTGGAGACCGGTTAAGCTTGTTTAACCTGTTAAACGCACACTTCGTATTTGACGCTGCATGCGTTGGACTATAAAATGGAAAGCGCATTTGAATTGAAAATGTCGCTATCGGGGTTTCGGTGGACACGCCCGATAATGACATCTGCAATGTTTTAGTCAATGGGGGTCAATTTGGGAATTCGGATGGAAAGAAATATGACCAGCCGCTTAGATGCGCTCGATAATTCTGAAAACGGACGGGCGCTCGATAATTCAACTGGACCAAAATGCATCCGTCTCCTAACCGAAATAAGTGCAAGAAGAGCATCAAGCGCCTCGAACAACAACTTCATGAACAGCTTGACACCAAATAGCAGCTTGTGCTTAAGCTTAATGGCGTCGTGACATATCCAGATATTCTCGTCTGGGAAAGAAGTCACGATGACATGCAATAGAAGGTTAACATGGTGCTAGATTGACAAGAGAGCATTCCAGAAATCTAATGCGCTTTCAAAGGTGTTTAGTCTCAGAACAGTCAGCGTAGTGACATGATGTAAGATTCTATTTTTTATGAAGCTTGAATTGGTAATTTCTACTAATTTTGGTACTTGGACCGGTCCCAAGACATATTTGACTACTGTTCATTTTATGGTGTTGTGGCGCTCCTATAGTTATGACTATATTTGATCAAGCGCATTCGTGCGTGTGGAACTTGACTTTTAATAAAGCTATATAAACATGGCCAGCACTTTTGTCGACTGTCACTCAGCCCAGTGCTGTATGTCATGATCAAGAGCGTAAAATTGTTGTGGGGTTTGAGCTATTTTTACTATAATTTTCTCGCAATAAGTCTCAATTTTGGACCACGGCATCTCATGAAAATTATCGCATTCGCTTTCTCAGTAACTTAAGTCTCACGAATACAGCTTTAGTGGACAAAAACTCTGGCATCACTGCCTGCATCGAGGCAAGTAATGTGACCTTGTGTACCTTACATATCTTGTATGTTCTGAAAAAGTAGGGAGTATGAATACTATATTGACGCCCGAGGTTTCACGTTTACACTACTATTCCTATCCTAAGGCTTGATGTCTTACAGCTCTGAACCACTTGATACTTGATGATTTTTTGTGTCTTGTGAAAGGAATAAATCTGTACGAATGACATGATAATCTTCTGGGTGGCCAATCCGGAAAAAAGAAGACATGCGCTCTGTGAGCGTTAAGTAGTGGTGATCCAGAATGTATAAGTGGAAGGCCTATATGTGCGCACGTCTAAAACATGTCGGAGCATTTAACTCTCTCCAAGCCTGCGGCCAGTCTGACGGTCATCAGGATGATCTTGATTTTTGCCTTACAAAAGACATGTCCAGTAAGAACGCATAAGAGAACCATATGAAAAGATGGCTCATTCCGTTGCTGCAAGAGACCTGTAACCGATGCAAACATGACCGATCTAGTCAACGAAAAAGCTTTGCCAACATGGCTTGCAGCTGGCCATTGTATCGAATAGAGATCCACACTTTACAGCGAAAATTCAGTAAAATTTAATGAAAAATCTGATTAAAACAATTTCAGTTGGGATATGCCTGTCGCTGACCTTCTGCAATTAGATAGTCAGACGAAACGCGTGATGCGTTTTGTGGCGAATCTCCTCCACTGCACTTGCAACCGCAGTGCTAAAGTGGA